TATATATATATTGGTGTGTGTGTATGTATGTATATATTATTTTTTTTTACTATATCTTTGGGGTAAATTCTCTGATGGACCATCAAAACAAGTGATGTATGGGTGTACCATGAAAAATTACCATTAGATGCATCTAAGCTTATTGTTTACGAATACACCCTATCACACATGATCTAAATTTCTGAATTTTTTATTAAATTAATTTTAAAAAAAAATTATCCAAAAATTCGAACTATCTCACGTCAGAGTTCACCTTCAGAACGGGCCGTTCTAAAATCAGAACGGCCCGTTCCTGATGAAAAAAATAACACATACAAATGGATCAGAACGGCCTGTTTTCGATTCAAAAAGAAGACATGAGAAGTTGAATCAGAACGGACCGTTTTACATTTGGAACGTCCCGTTCCAGTATCAAAAATAACAAATGACAAGTTAAACCAGAACGAGTCGTTCTGAATTCGGAGCGGATCGTTCTAAATTCGAAACAGGCCGTTCTAACTACATATTTGTCATATAAACTTTTTTTTAAGCAAAATAATTTTTTTTTCATTCTACTAAATTATATTTAAAATTTAAGTATAGTATTTCAATTGATAATGTTTTCTATTAGAATTAGAGATTTATATTAATTATATGCGTAAATTTCTAATTTTAATTAGAAAATAACACCAAATAAATTTTTTTACTATAAATATAATATGGGCCTAGTTTTGGGCTTCATGAGCCTTTGGGCTTTTGACAGCTTCTGAGCTTAGTGAGCCCAATGGAATTAATGGGCCTAGGATTTTCTTTACTTGGGCTTTACATGGATGATTACCTTTCTCATATATTTGGTAGTATAGGAGTTTATATTGCTTGGTCTTGTATTATGGACCTTAGTATAAGACTTTTTGGGTTTTAAGTTCATTGGGCCTAGTTTTGGGCTTCATGAGCCTTTGGGCTTTTGACAGCTTCTGAGCTTAGTGAGCCCAATGGGTTTGGTGGGCCTAAGGTTCTCTTTACTTGGACTTTACATGGATGACCACCTTTCTCATATTTTTGGTAATATAAGAGTTTATATTGCTTGGTCTTGTATTATGGACCTTAGTATAAGACTTTTTGGGTTTTAAGTTCATTGGGCCTAGTTTTGGGCTTCATCGGCCTTTAGACTTTTGATTGCTTCAAAGCTTAGTGAGCCTAATGGGTTTGGTGGGCTTAGGGTTCTCTTTACTTGGGCTTTACATGGATGTCCATCTTTCTCATACATTTGGTAGTATAGAAGTTTATATTGTTTGGTCTTGTATTATGGGTCTTAGTATAAGACTTTTTGGGTTTTAAGCTTATTGGGCCTAGTTTTGGGCTTCATGGGCCTTTGTGCTTTTGTTTGCTTCTGAGCTTAGAGAGCCCAATGAGTTTAGTGGGTCTAGGGTTCTCTTTACTTGGACTTTACATGGATGACCACCTTTCTCATATATTTGGTAGTATAGGAGTTTATATTGTTTGGTTTTGTATTATGGGCCTTAGTATAAGAATTTTTGGGTTTTAAGTTTATTGGGCCTAATTTTGGGCTTCATGGGCCTTTAGACTTTTGACAGCTTCTGAGCTTAGTGAGCCCAATGGGTTTGGTGGGCCTAGGGTTCTCTTTACTTGAGCTTTACATGGATGGCCATCTTTTTCATATATTTGGTAGTATAAGAATTTATATTGTTTGATCTTGTATTATGAGCCTTAGTATAAGACTTTTTGGATTTTAAGTTTATTGGGCCTCATTTTGGGCTTCATGGGCCTTTAGGCTTTTGATTGCTTCAAAGCTTAGTGAGCCTAATGAGTTTGGTGGGTCTAGGGTTCTCTTTACTTGAGCTTTACATGGATGGCCATCTTTTTCATATATTTGGTAGTATAAGAATTTATATTGTTTGATCTTGTATTATGAGCCTTAGTATAAGACTTTTTGGATTTTAAGTTTATTGGGCCTAGCTTTGGACTTCATGGGCCTTTAGGCTTTTGACTGCTTCTAAGCTCAGTGAGCCCAATGGGTTTGGTAGGCCTAAGATTCTCTTTACTTGGACTTTACATGGATGATCACCTTTCTCATATTTTTGGTAGTATAGGAGTTTATATTGTTTGGTCTTGTATTATGGGCCTTAGTATAAGACTTTTTGGATTTTAAGTTTATTGGGCCTAGTTTTGGGCTTCATAGGCCTTTGGGCTTTTGTTTGCTTCTGAGCTTAGTGAGCCCAATGGGTTAAGTGGGTCTAGGGTTCTCTTTACTTGGAATTTACATGGATGACCACCTTTCTCATATATTTGGTAGTATAGGAGTTTATATTGTTTGGTCTTGTATTATGGGCCTTAGTATAAAACTTTTTGGGTTTTAAGGTTATTGGGCCTAGTTTTGGACTTCATGGGCCTTTGGGCTTTTGATTGCTTATGAGCTTAGTGAGCCCAATGGGTTTGGTGGGCCTAGGGTTCTCTTTACTTGGGCTTTACCTGGATGACCACCTTTCTCATATTTTTGGTAGTATAGTAGTTTATATTGTTTGGTCTTGTATTATGGGCCTTAGTATAAGACTTTTTGGGTTTTAAGTTTATTGGGCCTAGTTTTGGGCTTCATGGGCCTTTAGACTTTTGATTGCTTCAAAGCTTAGTGAGCCTAATGGGTTTGGTGGGTCTAGGATTCTCTTTACTTGGGCTTTACATGGATGACCATCTTTCTCATATATTTGATAGGGGAAGAATTTATATTGTTTGGTCTTGTATTATGGGCCTTAGTATAAGACTTTTTTGGATTTTAGGTTTATTGGACCTAGTTTTGGACTTCATGGACCTTATATTATGGGCCTTAGTATAAGACTTTTTGGGTTTAGGGTTTAGGATTTAAATGTAATTTAGTAGAATGAAAAAAAGAATATTATTTTGCTTAAAAAAATTCGTATGACAAATTTGTCGTTAGAACGACCCGTTCCAAATTTAGAACGGCCCGTTCTGGTTTAATTAGTCATGTGTTATTTTTGAATTTGGAACGGGTTCTGATTTTGGAACGAACCGTTCTGATCCATTCGTCATGTGTTTGTTTTTCATCTGGAACGGTCTGTTCTGATCCAATGTTGATGTGTTATTTTTTCAAATGGAACGACCCTTTCTGATTTCAGAACGGCCCGTTCCGAAAGTGAAAAGCAGTTGCGGCGATGCATCGTAACACATGTTTTTTTTTTGTAATTAAAAAAAAAAACTTTCCGTAAAAAATTTAGAAATTTTGATCATGTGTGAAAGTGTATAATATACTATTATTTATTAAATGATAATCTCAACCATTCATTATTTTTTATATTATATCTATGGTTTCTATTAATGCACCTTCTATGCACCACTTGTAAAAGTGGGCTATGAGAGACATCATCATATGTTTGGTGGAAAGCATTTACTAACTTCATCGAATAATTATCAGTGAGGAACTTACCTTATCACTTAGTTTTTTTCTTCCAACATTTTTTTTATAAACAAGATTGGAAATTAATACTTTATTTATAAGGATTAAGAAAAATTCAAAATAACAACTTATTGATTATAAATTCTAAGATTGCGCTAAATGCTAAGGTTTCTCTCTCTCTCCTGGTTTTTTTTGGGTGCTACAAAGGTCTCTCTTGTTTTTTTTTTTCAAGGTTGAATTAATTATTTGGTGTTTATACTTGGCTACACTTTTCATTTTAGTCTCCACACAAAAATTCTACATTTTTGTCACTATTTTTTTATATATTTTTTTTGTTTTATCTAGTCCCTATCATTAGTTGCCATGTAAAGCTGATAATTTTTGTTGACGTGGTCATGTGGGGCTCACCTATGTGCGTTGTTGGCATATTGAATTGGTTGGTTCAATATTTAAACCAAGTATAGACTATAACACAAAAACAATACGTTACAAGTTATTAAAAGTCTTTATCTTTCAACCAAGATCATTATTAAATTTCAATAATATAAAATTATAATAGTCTTTAAGAACCAAAATACAAGTAGTAATAGTTCTTTAATAATAAGACTTTACGATAACTTACAATGACACTCATCATAAGTTATATAATAAATAAAAATTAATATTTAACAAATTAAATGGGATAGTGGGTTAACTCGTTCCAACTTATCATTTAGTTTGACAAGTTGGCATACTTGGTGAGACAGATCAAGTGGTTTGAAATGTTTATTCTACCTGTCCAACTTTTAGCATGCTAACCCATAAGTCATAACTTACTTTGTCACCCATAATTATAGGAGCTTTAAAAACCACTACAAAGTTGAATTTGGTGATGTAAAATTTCAAGATTTTTTTTTATAATTTTTAAATCGATAAAAAATTGAAAACGAAGATGATTTTGTCATGCACTGCCTTTAGAAACAAAATTCCTTGGCAGTGGAGTCCCTCCCTTTGCTTGTTCTTTCTTTTCTTAAGCTTTTTTCCTTCTTTCTTGTTCCTCTTCTTATTTTACATTCTTTTTGGATGAGAACTTGACAAGTAAAATTTATTTATAGATTTGCTTACAAAATCCAAATTCTTTAAACTTTTACATAACCATTCAA